ATAAAACTCAAAAGGAAAAGAGTCCAATTAGCCAGAAGTTTAAGCTAAACTTCTTTCTGCCATATGTTCCCAAGGTTTTCCTATACTTTTAACATTTTAGAAAACAGCCAGAAGGAAGACCAGACAACACTGATTTTTAAGGGAGTTTGGAAGAAACTGATCATTATGTTAATAAAATGGATTTAATCCCTCAGTCTACTCTTTACTGCGTCATCTGGACCACCTTGCTGACGTTAAAGCTAAACGTGAGACTTTTATTCCCCCTTTTATTTTTCTGAGTGTGTAATGTTGCTGAAAAGCTAACATGATTTTTATGAAACTCTCAGAGTTTTTTTGGCTTAAATTCAGTGGTCAAGTTTGCTATTATGTTGTATGACTTACTACTGCTTTCGGCCCTTTTATTTATTTATTTGTTTTTCCCAATTGGAATGGTCCTAATTTCACTATCTGGCCATAAAAATTCATGTTTCAAAAGCAATTTTGTAAATAGCCTTGCCTGTTACTTTTGATGAAATTCACATTTGTAAATGTGAACCTCAGAATATTTACATAAGGCAAAGTCATCCATCGAAAGACAAACATTCAACTGGAAATTTTATAACAGCCTCTTAACGTAGGTTCCATCATTCTCATCTCTGCCCCTTCGATGGATGTTCACAGAACACCTTTTCTTGTTTTTTTTTCTTATAGCCAGAGCTACCTGCAAGCTGCAAGTGATGTCCCTGTGGGTCACAGCCTGGACCCCTCTGCCAACTACAACTCCCCAAAATTCCGCTCGAGGAACCAGAGCTACATGAGGGCCGTCAGCACCCTGAGCCAGGCCAGCTGCGTGAGCCAGGTTGGGAATTTTCTCCATCCTTTCCCCCTTGGGGTCCAGCCTCCAAAGCCGTGCTGTAGCAGACGTCCTCCCTGCTAGGGGACGACGGCACAGGCATTCCTAGTCAGCACCTCTTATGCAAAGACCACGAGCACACAGGAAGCTCCTGCCTGGACTTAGCCTTGACTGATTAAAAACTTGTGAACTTTATAAATTAATTTTTTCAACATTTAAGACTCTATATCATTTTCACATTCATGTTCTCTAAGTAAGCAAGGACTGATAAGCTGGTCATCTCAGCCTCTCCTGTGGATTTAGCACAGGCTGTCTTCCTTTTCCCCAGCATGTTTGTCCAATAAAATGGACCAGGGGAAGATCTGACCACAGTGGCTTTCAGCCGTGTCCTCCAAAGTACACTTCAGAAGGTCCAGGAAGAATAGTTGAAATTTTGCTGTGGTGTTTAGTTTCACTCAGAGAGCTGTGTTTGTCAGGCTCACTCCCAGGCAGGACTTATTTCTTGCTAGGGAATGATGGTGTTTTCTGCAGGCCCTAGGATGTGTAGGACTGCGAGAGGGAGGTGCCCAGCAGGCTCCCCGCCCTACGGTGCATGGAGAGAGAACACACAACAGCAAATGAGCAGGCACTATTCATTCTAATCGCCCTGTGTTGCAGGACAAATAGGAATTGAGTGTTTATAGTTTTACACTTTGCTTACTATTGGTAACTACTTTTAAAAACAGTGCTCAAGCCAACCATGGGTTCTTATAGGTAATGTTTTCTTTGACTTATTGCAGAGTAGTGGTTGCAAACACGGGCTTTAAGTCAGAGGCCTGGGCTCAAGTTACCCGCTTGTATGCAGTTAGCAGAGTAACCAAGTGAGTGTCTAGTGAATTTTTTATATGGTTAGGTAAAGAGCCTAGCATAGGATAAAGACTTGATAAGTAGCAGTAGTAGCATAGAATTCTGAGTATCAAAAGCCCTCCTGGTCGTAAATGAGGCTGTGAGCATTTGGGAGCTTGCCAGGGGTGCAATGAGTTGGAGTCTTTCTTTCACTGTGGATATTAAGTTCCTTATGAGATAGTCTTTTCATATAGAGGTGTTTTTGTTATTTTTTTCTTTTTCTCACCAGAAAGTTGTACTCTGGACTTTTTCTATTGAACTATCTGGGTTTTTCCTATTCCACAACTCAAGGAAGATATTACCTCATTAATCTACTCACGTGCTGTTTTTTTTTTTTTTAGAAACGGGATTAATTTCCATTCCTAGCAAAAAGAGTTCCATTGATTCTTTTTTTCCCAGTGACAAAGAAAGAAGCACACCTGACTCTGCAAACTAGGACTGTCCTGCTGTTAGCGCTCATGGTCCCACATCCCAGGAAACCCTTCGGTCCTGGACAAACTGGGAGAGTTGGCTACCCTGCCATCTGTACCCAACCACCCCCTGCAAATAATAACAATGTTGACAACAGATCCTCAGCAACTAGATCATTGCAACTATGCACATTCTGTTTCAGTATAAAATCCAAGATCATTTGGGGACATATTAATTATTTAAACAGATGAACTGAAAGTCAATTAAACATCTTAACAACTTTCTCCCCAGTCAAAGACGAGGATAAAGTATACTTCCTTCTCATAAAGATGCTACCTTCCCTTTCAGTTAATACAACCTAGTTTACCAAAATACAACGTATAAATTCAGCTGTAATTCCTTCTCATAAAGATGCTACCTTCCCTTTCAGTTAATACAACCTAGTTTACCAAAATACAATGTGTAAATTCAGCTGGAACCCAGCAAAGGTTTTAAACAGAGGTGCAAAGTATTTTTGCCATAGATGTGAGAATTCCTCTCTAATGGTTTCCATTTGCTTTCAACCAACAGGTTTCAATTAACTGTGTATCATACCTCTTCAAATGCTCTTATGAAACCACAGGTTCCCTGGGTTTTGTCATTATTTTGAGGAAATGTAAGCCATAGTCTAGTATCCTCCATATCATGCTTTTGGTGAACCCAAGATGAGATCTCCAAAAATAAGTCAGTAAAAATAACGTTTTCTTAATGTCTTTTTCTATCTGAAAAATTCGTCATTGGAAATAATGGTAAAGCAGACAAGTTGTGTGCTTGGGAAGTTTATTTCTTTTAATGACTTTGAAATTTAAAATTCTAAGTGATTTCTATTGCTGAGTTCTATGACATGACTTTAAATTGAACTCAAGATTGAATTCTGAAAAAATATATATTGTTATTTAAAATAATTCTGGAACCCTGGTAGTGGGTGGAGATGTATCACACCCAGAACCAAACTTCTATTAATTCAGTATCAAACCCTGGCCAATGCTACCTAAAATTCAGGAAGGAGGATGCCATTTCAACTGGCACACAGAGGATGAATCAGTAACACTTCAGTGCTCCTGAGACACTTGAATTTGCTGACTAAAGCTGTTAAAAGTTTGCTCCTTATCTTTAACATTATTTTTTTCTCATATGCAAAAATGAAATTAAAATCCAACTGCAGTCTTGTGAGATTTGCTTATCTCTAAGCCATATCTTGCTTTGAACTTCAGTAGTTGAACTCAGTTTTAATTTCCTATAGCTCAGAAATCTAGAAGAATAGGTGTAGGTGTTTTAAGTGTTCTGGCTGATACCGTGGAGTCGTGCCAACAACAAGCATTCAGGACTGAAAGTGAAACTAGCACCTGCAGTGTGGAGAGTATGCATGAAATTCCAAGTTCTTATTGACCAGCATAAGAAATCAGATTTGTTCATTTACCCATAGGATTGCTTTCATGGGGGAGTCTGATGAAAGTGCTAGAAACTCACATTAACACTGCTGCTATTCCAGAACCATGAGCAGGTGACTCCAGAGACTGCTCAGTCTCCTTGCTGCAGCCAGCTGGATTGTCTGGTGCTCTTTGGGCCACTTACTCATCGTCGACCTTTTCAGAGCACTCTTGAGATTCACCCATCTCTCAGTATGCTGAACAGGACCCCAGACTTACTTTTTATTCTCAGAATGATGTTCCCTAAAGTTTCAGAGAACACAGTTGGATTTTTCTTGGGAAGTATACTACCTCACCCCATCTTACTCAGAGTTTAGTGCTCTGTGTTAAAAATATATATATATATATATATATATATATATATATTGCTAAATCTATACATTAAATGGAATAATGCTTTAAGATCTCTGATATCTCTGCCCATTCAATAAATAATAATGTAATAATGATCATGGTTTATGAGACCTGCTGAGTCCCATTAGTGGTGCTGGGTGACCCTCCCAGTTCCCGTCACCCTTGAGCCCCCAGTAGGGTCCGACCGTCGCTGTCTCCTCTTGCACACACACGCACTCAGCATATCTGATGGAGCTCCTTTCGGGGCTGGGCTGGAACTTGAGGACACAGTGAAGTAGAAGACACAGCAGCCATGAGGCAGCCAAGTTTCAGAGTAGAACAGGGATTTGTGTCCCACGTCTGGCAGATCCCAAAGCCACCAAAAGATATTTACGTTCCTCACAGTTTTAGACCACACCATTGTCTCGTTATCTCTTACCTTCTTGTTGTCTTTAAATAGCAGTTTTGGTGCAATCGTAGCTTTTCTTTCTGTCATGCTTCCTGTTTTTAAAAATTGTAAAATACACATAACATAGGGCCGGCCCGGTGGCGCACTGCTACAGTGCACCGCTTGGGAGTGTGGCGGCGCTCCCGCCGAGGGTTCGGATCCCACATACAGACCGGTTCCCGCTCACTGGCTGAGCGAGGTGCGGGTGCAGCACCGAGGGTTGCGATCCCGTTGCTGGTCCCGGTCCGGTACAGGCGCGACACTGAGGGTTGTGATCCGTTGCTGGACACGAAAAAGACAAAAAGGAAAAAAAAAAAAAAAGAAATACACATAACATAAAATTACTATCTTGATCATTTTTAAATGTGCAGTTCAGTGGCATTAAGTACATTCACACTATTGTGCAACTGTCACTACCGTCCATCCTCAGAACTGTTTCATCATCTGAAACTGAAACCCTGTACCCATCAAACAACTCCTCATTCTCCCCTCTGCCCACCATTGTATTTCCATCTCTATGAATCTGACTACTCTAGGGACTTCATATAATTGCATTCATACAATATTTGTCCTTTTGTGACTGGCTTATTTCACCTAGCATAATATCCTCAAGGTCCATCCATGTTGTAGCACGTGTCAGAATTTCCTTCCTTTTTTATGGCTGAATAATATTCTATTGTATGGATAGACCACATTTGGTCTATCCATCAGTGGACACTGCGATTGCTTCCACATTTAACGATTGTAAATAATGCTGCTAGGAGTGTGGATGTACAAATATCTCTTTAAGACCCAGCTTTCAATTCTTTGGGATATATATACCCAGAAGTAAAGTTGCTGCATGATGTGGTGATTCTGTTTTTAATACTATTTTCCACATTGGCTGCACCATGTTACATTCCCATGAACAGTACACAGGGTTCCCATTTTTCCATACCCTCACTGTGTCATGCCTTGCCTTGTAAACGTAGTTTGTCAGGACCTCTGAGAAGCCCTCCCTGAGCTCTACAAAGAGCTCTCTGCCACAATAGGACGATTGCCTCGTATCCGGTGCCCCACACCATTTTCCAAATTTTCTTTGCTTTGGTTCCTCACGTTGTCCACCTTCTCTGGAATTAACTCAAGTTGCATATCTGAGTTACAGTTCACAAAAAGAGAAGTAGGATACTTCAAACTACACTAATTATTCCCATAACTTACCCCATTGGCTTAACGTCCTTGTGGGGCATCTCTACTGGATATAGCCATAGCTTGAATTCCAATGTAAAATTTTCCAAATCTCTCTCATCTAGGTGAACAAATCTGTTCTCAAAGAACAGATCATTTCAATTCCCTTCTAGACCAATTTGAGATCCTTGTCAACTACTTTTTGTTTGGAGAAAGGGAGGAAGCCACCTTCATTTTTAGAATCTCACTGGTAAGTTTTTGTAGATGGAAGCAAAGCCAAAGAGTCCTTACTGAAATTTTAGTATTTTGTTTGTAAAATGCACAAGTTTAATAGTGTTTCTGTTTAAAGGAGAGAGAACAGCTGGACCGCGCAGGGTCTGCAGAAGAGCTTCTACTGAGAATGTGCACTGGGGTGCCAGCAGACATTAGGGCCATCAGATTTTGACCTTTCCAAGATGTCTAAAGTGGATCTCTGACATAAAACAACCTACGACTTTTTGGTAAAATTCCACATAAGTGAAAACTTAGATTGAAAGAAATGTGTAGTCCAGAAAATGTCCCATTTTCAAACCAGTATGTGCGTCCCTGAGCATTTTACTCACTCAGTTACTGAGGCTGTCGTGAGGGCCGTGTCATGGCTTCTCTCCCCCTGAGTGTGTCTCTGTCATACATCAGAAACCCTCAGACCACTCAGGTGAAGGCAGTCTCCCATCAGTGGTGCTCTGGCTTCCTCTGTCTCTCTTACACTTGGGCTTCAGGCACAGCCCTGCCCCTCGTCCCCCCCGCTGCCTCCTCCTCTGTCATCTCTAGAATCAGTGCCAAGTTACATCACTGAGATGTTTAGAGTGAAAGAGGCCATCCTTCTAGCATGTAAGTAATCTCAGGGTGAAAACAGACAAGTCCATCGACAGGTCTGAAGCTAGAGAGGAGCAAAGAGTATCGCATTTTGTTACGAAATGGGGAGAATCTGATTGTTTGACACTTTTTACTTTGCAAACAATTGTAGGAAAAGAACTAATCTATTGTTTAGAATGGTATCTTTTTAAAATTTATCTGCCAGCATAGTCCAGTGGGTTTGGGCTCTCACATAGCCCCTCCAGACCGTGCTGAGATAGACCAGAAAAAAGAAAAAGGGGAATAATTGCATACTAATTCTTGGCTTTTTAAAGGAGGGGGAAGGGGAGAGAAAAGAGAATGAAAGAGAGAGAGAGAGAGAAGGAAGGAAGGAAAAGAGAAAGGAAAGGAGGAAGGAAGAAAAGAAAATAGTGTTCAGTTTGAAGTAAAACTGGGCAAAGACAGAGAAGTGAGCATTTGCTTACAGAACCTGCAGACAGGTCCTTGGATGCAAACATGCACAGTGTGTTGTGGGAACCCAGGGGAAAGCATGTTACCCATCCAGGCACAGGTGACCCAGTCCGCAGAGAAAGTGAGTTCCCAGCCGAGGTCTGCAGGTGTTGAAGAGTGAGACACATGGCAGTGGGAGAAGATGCTTGCAGAAGAGGGACAGTTTGTTCAAATTCAGAAGCAAGGGAGAAGGGAGGGTGGTTTGGGGAGTTGCATTACATTTTGCATGACTTGAGTGTTTGGCTCCAGCTAAGGAGTGAGGTGAGGAGTCTGGGGATGGGGGCAGCAGCCGGATCCTGGAAGGCTGTGCTGAGGAATCTGTACTTAGCTCAAACACTGGTACTGGTGAAAATTTTAAGAAGTTAAATGACACAATTTTCACAATGCTAAACTGAGACACAGAGCCAGATCGCGGGCAGCCATGGGGATGTGGCAGAGAGTGGGGAGGGTCAGAGCACAGCCAGCCTGATCTGGAGTGGAGAATCCAAACGGTCTCCGACCAGCTGGACGTGGAGGATGAGTGCCAGGTTTCTGGACCAGGCTCCAGCATGAGCCCACGGCAGGAGGGAGGGGACAGGGAGACCGTCTGGAGGTAAAGGCGCTGCACATCCAGTGTCCCATGAGTATATCCCCAGCCCCTTCCCCTGAGCTCTGATTCTGCTCTTCTTCATGTGCCTCTCCCAGAGAGCCTCAGCCTTGCTCCTCGGTGTCATTAACAAGCATCCCCATGTGCACGTACATGTTAACATACGTAAGACATACAGAAGGGATAGACCCACAGTATACGAGTAATTGGGGAAAGGGAGGTCATTTACCAAAGTTCCAGTCCAGGGTGAATCACTCTCTTGGAGCAGCTGATTTCTGTCCACGCTGAGCTCTTGCCCTTAGGCCTGTGAGCATCTACACGTTACCAGCCCAGTTTCGGCTTTTCATTCTTAAAAGTCTTATTTCTTCTCCATCCCAGCCTCTCCAACATTGTTTTGTCCTAAATTTTACTTTATTGGACTTCCATTTAAAATTTCTAGATTTGGCTGATGGGAACTACACATGTAGTGTGACCATCAGGAAACCTCAGGGGAAGCATGTCCTCCTGGGCCGTCCACCCTAAGCAAAGGCCCTTTGACTAACATGATGGTCAAGCTGGAGGCGCATATCAGCCTGAGCTCGCTCCACTATGCAAAGCCAGGATAACTTTCCTTCAAATGCAGTCAGACATTGGGGTTCCCAAGGTGACTCCATAGCTAGAAATTAAATCATAGGCTGGAGAATAATTACTTCACCTGCTAAACTATCAAATGAAGCAAATATATTAATATTCTAGGCTAAACAAGAAGAAAACGCCTGGAATTTAGGTAGATGCGACTTGTTTCATGTAGACAGAAACACCGATACAAACATTTCTTTCTCATCTGGACTTGGATTGTGCTGCTCTAACGGTGAGAAGGATACAAGTTTATATGCCAAATTTGTGATTAGTTTCCACGTAGTAGAAGCAGACACTCATGTCCTGAAAAGAACTAAAAGTAGCTTATTCACTTAACTGTGTGTTTACTTACATAGCCTCAATGCCCAGAATTGTCTGTGCTGTAAATAGCTTGGAAAGGTGAGTCATTTGAGGAAAAAATGAAAAAACTAATATTTTGAACACTCTTTGTACCAGGTACTTAAATGTGCTGTCTCTCTTAAACTTCGTAATAACTCAGCCGTACTCTAAACTTTTGCCTTGTAGGTCTGTAGAATTTCATCAACATCTTGGAATTGGCTATTTACCTTTGTGTTTTGTAAGAAATAACCCAATAAGCTATTTCCCAAGCTTAGCAGATTTCCAATGCTGATTGCAAATTAATTATGCTGAAAATATAAGACTGTAAATAAATATGATGGGATGTATTTTGTTGTCTTGCTCCTTTGTAACACAGTTATGCAAACCTTGGCTGGACCCGGGTTTCACATGTGCTTTTGATTATTCCAGATGAGTGAAGCGGAGATCAATGGGCAGTTTGAGTCAGTGTGTGAATCTGTCTTTAGTGAAGTGGAATCTCAGGCCATGGATGCCCTTGACCTCCCTGGATGTTTCCGAACAAGGAGTCATAGTTACCTTCGAGCCATTCAAGCTGGTTACTCCCAAGATGATGAATGTATCCCCGTGATGACACCCTCCAACATCACCTCAACCATCAGGTCAACAGCAGGTAAAGATACACCCTTTTGGACCTTCCTAGAGGAAAATCTAAAGGCGTGTTTAAGTCCTTCTCCTAGAAGGAGCGGGGCGCACCCTGACCACAGGTATTTATAATTCACTCTTCAGATGCTTGGTTACTTTTCCAAATTGCATTTGTTACATTATTGCATTTGTGATGGTGGTTTGAAGCACTTTTTTCATAGATAACCCTTCTTCTTTTTCTAGAATGAAATCTATTAAGTATCAAACTTCTTTAAAATAATCAAGTATAACTTTTGTAAAGTTTTGTATAGGAGATAAAAATGAAGTGCTGACATTTGGAAGGTGATTGTGTTTTAAACATTAAAGTGTAACAGATTGCAGTGAAGTTTCGCAATGAATGGCTCCTAGGCTTCTTCACAGCGGTGTCCAGCCTGCACTCTAAACATTAAAGTGTAACAGATTGCAGTGAAGTTTCGCAATGAATGGCTCCTAGGCTTCTTCATAGCGGTGTCCAGCCTGAACCTCAGTTGCTGGGTAAGCAGATCTATCAACGTGATTCATCACTGCAAAGCAAATCAATCATTAATGTAAATTCACTAGTAGTCGTAGGGCTCCAAAGATTCAGTTTCACAATTTCTGTCAATTCTTATGGAAAACCATATCCACCCCTTTGAAAATTTACCACCTAAACTAAATATCACTGCCTGATATTTCACTGCACTATCATTATTTCTATAACACAATAAGTGTACAATAACAGCTTGCTACACTACCATTAAAAGCTGAGAAGAGAAACTATGCAAGAGAGTTGAAGAGTGAGGTGCTATGAAACACGTTAAGATTTGAAATGCTGCAGGCTTATCAAAAGAACTTACTGGACAGTCCCAAGAACAAACTTTGTTCAAGACAAGTAGCGACCAGATGACATATAACGTGAATGGGAAGAGAAACAAAGAGAAGGTCAGGAAGGAGTGTGTCATCATACCCATAAATAGATCTTGGTATGTTTCAGTGCTAAAGTGAGCAAGGAGATTGCACGTTGCAGAATTCTCACCATGTGTAAAATCTTGCTACCATTGCACTCTGAAAGGAAAGTATTGCAATGCAGAGTCTGTAGATGGGAGAGAACAAACTGGATTCAAATCTTGTTCCATCACATCATCACTAGAAGATCTTGGGCTTGTTAATTTTTCTGACTCTTGGTGTTTGAGGTGTTCAAAAGAAGTGATAGCTATGAATAATTTATTCAAGTAAGCTTAACAGTTATTTTTCAAAGAAAGCTGTGGATCCTCACTGTTTTGTTTTGTTTTGTTTTATGTGGCTTCCTGACACCTCAGCAGAGATTTTTGCGACACTCTCTGACCACTAAGCCTTGGGCCTTCAGGAGATGTGCATTGGATCCTGGAACACTCTGTTCTCAATGCAGCTTTGCAGGAATAGAGAGGGCTGTGCCAAGGACCTGTGCCATGTGAAATCTGCAGGGCTGTGAATATTAACCACCCAGGTGTGACCGTGGGAGCAGTTTATGGGTGGTGGAGTCTTACCCTCTAGTTGTCACTTGGGTGACCTATTTTAATCACTACTTCCCCTCAGTGAAATCGCCCCAGTGTGAAAAAAGATACAAAAACAGAACAAATTAGAAACTTAGGGAAGTAATGAGGTTTTCAATCATCACATTAAAAACATAACTTTAAGAGATCATAAAATAGGTTCAAACCTTTTAGCTAGATGACCTATTTTAATATAGGTTTTTTTTTTTGTTTGTTTTGTTTTTGTCCTTTTTGAGACCGGCCACAAGAGCGCTGTGAGCGCACCGGTCATCCCTATATAGGATCCGAACCCGCGGCGGGAGCGCTACTGCACTCCCAGGGCTGCACTCTCCCGAGTGCACCACGGGCTCAGCCCTTTAATATAGGTTTTAACTAAATAGTTAAAGAGAGAGAGAGAGAGAGAGCATGGTCATTACTCACATATTCACCAGCATTTGTTGAGTGT